CAGAGACTGGAAAAAGCTGGATAGAAAGTCAAATTCAGCAAGTGTCAACTTTTCCGTATGCAAATTGAGTACCTTGGCTTCCTCATCAGCCAAAAAGGGATAAAAGTTAATCCAGAAAAAGTAAAAGCCATCAACATTTTCCAGTCCCAGAAGACGTCAAGGGGATCCAAGCCTTTTTAGGGCTTGTGAGATACTTCTGCTCATACATCAAGGATTTGGCAATCCATGCAAGACAACTGTATGACCTATTGAAAAAGGACACTCCTTTCAAATGGAACCAAGAACAACAAGCATCCATGAATGATTTGCAAAAATGCATGCTATCTGCACCCATTTTATCCTTTCTGGATTTTTTGCAAGAATTCATCCTCACCACTAATGCATCTGCATTAGCCATTGGAGCAGTACTCACACAGAAAATTGGACAAAAAGAAGTACTTATTGGATGTGCCTCCAGAACTCTCAACCCAGCAGAGAAAAATTATCCAAACACTGATTGGGAAATTTTAGCAGTGTTTTATGGGGTGAATCAATTTTGCTCATATCTGTGGGGACATCCTTTTACCATCAAAATGGATCATATTGCAATACCATATCTTAGTCACCAAAGACAAAACATCAGTCACAGGGCAATCACGTGGTTTACAACATTGAATGAATATTCCTACAAAGTGGAATATAAGAAGGGGTTACAAATACCCCATGCTGATGCGCTCAGCAGGTATCCTCCTGCTGTCAACACCATTTGCGCATATATATCACCCATGTTTCAAGAAACCAACCTGCTGCCTTAAATCCCCAAAATGATCATACAAGAAGAAACAAAGAAAACCTCCTCAAAACCAACTTGAGAGAATTACCAACATAAGGACAACTTGGTGCTCAAAGATGTGGAAGGAGATTGGAACATTTGGATCCCTCCAAATTTAAGGGCTCAAATTATCCAGCTACATCATGATCCACCATCTATGGGACATGCAGGCATGGATTGAACAATGTATGCAATCTAGCAACATTTCTATTGGACCAATATGGATCAAGACATTTCCACCTACATCAGATCCTGTGAAATTTGCCAAACAGCAAAGAACTTTTCACACAAGACCCCATTTTGGTCCACTGGAATTCCTGCCCAATGCTTTGAGGATGTTAGCATTGATGTCATGGGACCTGTTCCCACCAGCAACAGAGGCTACCACTACATTCTAGTGACACAAGATCAACTTTCCAGATGGATTGTCTTTTTTTCCCATGAAAGAGGCATCTGCAGCTACCACAGCACAACTTTTCATCAGTGACTGGGTTTGCCTGTTTGGTGCCCCCAAAAGGATCCTCACAGATTGAGGAACCAATTTCGTCAGTTCCATTTTTCAAGATATGGAAAAATTTTTGGGTGCAAACACCCATATTACAACTGCCTACTGCCCACAAGGAAATGGAAAAAATGAAAGGGCTCATTGTGAACTTCACAAATATCTTCCTATTTATCTGGATCCGTACAATAGGTCTTCATGGGATGAACTTCTCAAATTTGCTGCTTGGGTCCATAATTCAGCCAAGCACAAAGCCCTCCAAATGTCTCCTTTTGAACTTGTCACTGGAACAAAGCCTTGCCTCAACTGGATCCCTCAATTTCTAAACAACAACAAAGACCCTCAACAACATCTCAAACATCTTGACAACCTCAGAAGAAAAGCTCAATATTCCATAAGAAAAGCCCAAGCCGCTTACCTTAGGCGTCTGAATTTTGGCTTACTTTAATGTATTTTTCATGATCATATAATTATTTTCATGTCCTATAGGAATAATTTTTAATTATATCCTAATATTTTTCTTTTACTGGTACAACTCTAAGTACTTGAAAGTTGTCCTACTTTAGTGCAGCATCAGCTATGATCTAGCCCTTGATGTTGGAAAATATATAGGGGTCTTTTGGGATAAATGTTTTCAATTCACTGCTTCAGGATAATTGAATATTTTTTGTATGACCTGAGTTCTTCACCCATATAACAGTATAAGCGTGAAACAAAATAATTTCCACTTGAAATTAATTTCAGCAATATCTAGTAATATCATTCAGAGAAAAACATGTATGCCGTGGGTCATTGAGAGCCAAGGCCAGCACCAAGCAGCACCCGTGCACCACAAGAGCCCTGTACCATCCTACTTGTCTCTTTTTCCCCCTTCTTGCCCTTTCCTTCTGAATTTAGGAAAATGTGAAGACTTTTCCAGACAGCATGAACTTTGCTGGTTAAAATTATTGCATCCTGCTTTTCCTTGATTAAAAGCAATGTTCCCTTCTTTGATATTCTGTAATAAATACATCAGAAGCAGGAGTGGAGTTCCTTCTGGTGAATTCAGTGGGGAAGTACAAGTTTGGTAACTCTAGGGGTAGCTGGCCCCCATTGTTAAAAAAAAGGGGTGGTCAACATTCCTGACAGGTTAAGCCGGCTTAAACCTCTTGTGTTGTTTTCTCCTGGTGATCTTCTGTACGCCTGAACTGCAGGTTTACCTCCAAGGTACGTGCTGGTTGACCCTTTTCAAAGGCATTTCCATAAAATGCTCATCCTTGGGGCTGAAAAATCTTTCAAAACAACTAAAATGTTTTAACGCTTCTAAAAAAATTTAAATTATATTACATATACAGTATAGTAAATTATATTACTGTGGTAATAGGTAAAATGGAGGAAAATTAAACTTCAACTCAATAACCCTAAAGCTGGAGTCAACATTTTTTTCCAGTGTTCAAGTCACTTTTCACCCAACCTCTAGCATTTATTCATCTGCAACAAAAATTTGTAATCACAAATTTAGCATCTGAAAATGACATTCCACTTCCCTATCTATCTGTTTGTCAAAGCCCTCCCTACAGCATCAATGTGTTCATATTTCTTTGGTGCATCACATAATTTTTTTAAAACCTCCATTTTTCTTTAACATTCTCTTTGTTTTTAAGGGGGAAAGCAATTCAAAAAATTCATATGGTGTCAAAATTCATGGAAAGCTGCCACCTGTTCCAAGAAATCACAATAGACATACAGGTGATCAGCAGGGGTTTTGATCTTATTTTTCTTCTTCAAATAAAATTTCAAAACCTTCATTTTTGTTTTATTTTCTTTGATTTTTTTAGCAGGAAAACTATTTTAAAATTGGAGAGTGTCAAAAATTTCACTGAGGATTATGGTATTCAAACCATAGATCATCCAGGCTCCATGATGAAATCCTGTAGGAAAAAATCCTGCAGCCCAGAAATCCTGTGAAGCTGAAAATCTGGTACCGCTAAAAAACTTGAAGGGTCCAAGAAGCCCTTAATCACAAAAATTCCTTGTACTGTGCTAAAAATAATGTAACATTGTCCCTGGATTTTCTTTCCAACTGGAAGGAATAAAAATCTGAAGGATTAAGAAATTGGGAACATGGAAGGGTTTGGATTCCTTCCAAGGATTTGGAAGTTTTATAAAATACCTTTCACAATAGAATTTACCTCGCCTTCACTTTCTCCAGAGTAAAGTGAGGTATTTTTCCATTTGGAGCCTTCATCCCTGCATTTTTTGCATATAAACTGTGTAGTTTCCCAATAATTTTCAGAGCTTAATTTTGTCTTCTGAAGTGATACACTTGCATCAATTTGGGTGAAAATCAGTTGAAAACTTGTAGAATTTCATCATTTTTCCCATCTCATCATGCACTGTATCTTGAATATTAAAATAGAAAATAAGATATCACTATCAAACTGCATTTAGACTTGTTTTTAAGTCAGAAATTATTTACATACCATTGCCCAAGTTTGTTATCAAAAGGAGGTATTTTGGACATACAAATTCATGTTTCTGGATTTTTGGACCCTGCAAGATTTTTGGGCATTCTAGATTTTGGGCCACACAGGATTTACTGCTGCAGGATTTTTCTCCTACACCCATCATCCACTGAATACTTGTTATGAATAATGCCAATTCCTCCACACAGGTTAAATAATTCCATACCTTGCTATATTTGTCATAAGTGCAGCCATTGCAATTGCCATCATATCCCATTCAATGACTGTATCCATTGGAAAAAAAACAAGCACTTGTAACTTGATTTTCTGCATCAGCTGAGTTTACTAGCAGAAATCAGGAGTGCAGTTGATAAAACTGGGCAAGATTAGGAAATCACTAAAAAACACAATTAGTGAAAACTTCCATGTGCTTGACTTCTGAGACTAATCTTGCAAACCTGTAAGTTAAACCATTGCCAGATCCAAAGAGCCAAGTGTCATCCAATCCATGAATTGCTGCATCATCACCAAGACCTGCATCCATTGTAAATGCTTGCTTATTGTCCATCAAAAGTTTGATGAGGTACAGAAAACAATAAAGGGCTGTACAGTGCAGATCACAATTTTTCTGTAATGAGCTATTGCTCAACTGAATCAGTGAACTGAACCAGCGTTTTGAATTTTAATTGAAATAAAGTTTGCGGACAAAACATGAAGTTTTCTTTGCAATGAGAAACCTTTGGACCTGGCACATAGGAGCTAAGTTTTCTTGGCAATGAGAAACCTTTAGACCTGGCACATAGGAGCTTCCCTGTGACACTGCTCAGTGCACTGTAAACCTGGACCCTCAAGTCTGTCACTAGTGTGCATAAAGGAGAGAGTTATGAGAATAGGGAGTGAGGGGGTCAGGGGTGCAGAGTTTCACTGGCATGGCTTCCTTCTTCGGCGAGAAACTACACCACCAAGTGTTGGGTGCCAGACATGAGGGGCAAAGAGTTTTGACAGCAAGGAGTTCTGCTCCGGCGAGATGGGGCCTTAACACTCCTACCTGTCCCTCTTCTCTCTCAGCGAAGAGCAGATGGAGTGACAACATGCAACATAGATGTGCAGTAGAGACGTCTGTCCACCTCTTGGGATGCATCAGGAATATGTCTGTTTAGTGAAGAATCACCATGTGTTCATGAACATGGGCAGGCAATACAGCACTCAAGTAGTCAAGTGGCATCAAGGACGAAAGGCGCAATGTAATCGCAAGTAGCGCTGCATTTCAGATCAATCGGGTTAACAACAACACAACAATAAGCCGCATGTTCCCAATTAGTCGCGAAATTGCTACAGTTGGTAACAGTTACACTCCTCGTTCAAAATAGTTTCCCGTTAATACTCCTCTTCCCTCTTTTTTATGTAACAAAAAGACAATAGAAGAGCAATTTGCTAACTATACTATAATTAGTTTTATTCTCAATAATTCACAGTCGGTCACTCACTCAATTCATCCAACCCACGATGACATGGTCTTGAGTTATTAATTTTATTATTACTGCTGACCGACGCGTAGTCGAGCACAAGATGCGCCGACTTGACGAGAGGGGAGTTGCGGGGCGGGCAATAACTCATGTCTGTGGATGGAGTTCTGCAACAATGCTGGATGCCCGTGCAACCACTCGACTTGGACTCTGACCCAGACTCGGGCTCTGACGCTGATGGCATCGGAATACCAAAACACAGAGGGGTCTTTGTCAACAACAATGACGTTTCCTCCTTCTCCTCATCTTCCTTCTTCTTCTTGTTCTTCATGCTACTGTCCCCAACCCCTAGCCCGTCCTGCACGTATTGGGATATGCGGCCAAGCTGACACGTCACATCCTGCTTCAACATGGTATTCACGAGCGTTTCCTCGTCACTTGTGTCTGCCTGGATGTCCGCAATGTCACGACGCAGCCTTTCCAGCTCCTCCTTGTCCACCTGGACGAACAAACACACATTCGAATTGCACATCCCTCTTTCCTCCTCTTCTGATTCTGGTTATTCCTCCTCGTTTCATATAGCGGTGAATGCATGGTCAAAGGAATGGATTCATCACCATTCCCAGCTAGCAGGCTAGTCAGTCAGTCAGTCAGCAAAAAACTATATAGGAGAGGCGAAAGGCAAAGTCGAAAGAAGGGGAGTGTACAAGTAGCCTGCACCAAGGGTCCAACCCATTTTACGACAGAGGGATGCAGTATTACCCATTGATTTGACGGCCTCTGCAAGAAGAAGAAACAACGATGACGGGCTCCACGACCACTCACTCAAGAAGGTTGTGAATCGTCAACATTTACACCCAATTTGAGTAAGGAATCGAGGTTGGCCCTCTGCATGCCGGCCGGTAAAACTGAGTAGCTACACATGTTTACCTATTGCCTGACTGCCACACAACACGCACTGAGGCAAAAAATACACACCCGCATACTCGTACTGCTTATACCCTCTCTCGAATTTCCCATCAAAAACTGTCAGCACTCTACAATGAACGATGAAAACAGAATAAAAATACAAAATTTGTGGTTTTCATCACTTCCTCTTTGTCATATCTTTCTTGTCGGAGGGCAGCTTCTTCCTCCTCGCACCGGAAGATTCTCGATGACCAAATCCTCACGCGCTTTCCGTTTCCACCACGCCAAATTTGCGTTCAACAGCCAACACCAAGTAGACATACAGTGACAGGAAATCAGACATCACCACTGAGTAATACATGTGACAGGCAAACCGTCACTTCCTCACAACGTAGAGGACAAGATGAGCGCGAGTATATGAATACGAACAGTACAGAACGTTACGGCAGTAGCAGGAGAAAATTACAATTGAAAAGGAGAGCATGAATAAAGAATAGATTAAGATGAAGCAGAATGCATTGAATGAATGGATTCGGGCTTCACCGGTTCCGAACGACGTTTCTCTACCCCCAGCTGCTCAACATGCCCAGTACTGACGGTGGATGTGAGCCACAGCGAGTCCGCCAATTCACGTCGCAACTCGTCCACTGCCCGAGCCAGATCCGCTGCTTCTTCTTTGTCGCGCTGGCGACTCTGACAACCCACCAACATCACCTGTTTCTGACAAAGAGAGGGAGGGGTTACACTGACATTCTTACCTGGCTTTTTACAGTATAGCACAGTACTATATGCAGGGAAAGAAAAATCAAATACTGCATAAAAATGTTGGTATCTTGGAACGTGTCACACCAAATTTAGGCAACGATCAATCTATACCGCGTCCAACGGTTCCATTAACTACATTACTATGCTACAGTTTACTGCACAGTAACTTACCGGGGACACAACACGAGAAGGCTCGACATTAAGCTTGAGCTCGGGCTCACTTGAGACTTCACGAAGGTCCAATCCACAAATATTGGCTTCTTCAAGGACGCCAGGAGCAGCCTTCTTCCCATTAGACACCAGGGCATGCGCAACAAGCCCCTCCAACTTGGCAATCGTCAATTCGTTGCATGCGTCCATGGCTCGAACAAGCGCAGACACGAGGACGTTTTCATCCGCTTTACTCTTGCACACTTGCTGCTCGGCAGCAAGAGCCTTGAGTTTGCCCTGAAGAATCTCACAGTCAAGTCGTGACTGCGTCCAATGCTTCTCCAAACTCGACACCTCTCGCCGCACTTGACTCAGCGCTCGTTCCCGCTGAGAGAGTCTAGATAACGAGAGAGAGAGAAGAGGGCATGAAGGTGTATGGGGACACTTTATTCATCACGATTGATCTCATCTCAGCTCCTATACTTGTCTGTCAGTTGGCTGAAACTGGAATTGAGCCTCCGTATCACCTGCCGCTTCTCATAGAGCGAAGCCCGGCAAGATTCCTCCGTTTCCTTGAGCTTCTGGCGCAAGGCCAATTCCTCCACTTGTCGGTAGTGTTTCTCACGCTCCTGAAATAAGGTGCTCACGGGGTCAGAATACACAAGGGAACACATGACGACCAAGATGAATGACCTGGCACCTTTGATCTTTGCAAGTCACGTTTCAGCGCGAAGTTCTCCTCGTTGAGCAGTTTCAGTCTGTTGACCAGATCACACAGCATGTTCTGCAGGCCGTTGTCCCCCTTCAAGTTAAAAGCAAGTCGGGAAGTGGTTGTGACACCTGCAGCGGCGGCATTTGCAAACCAGGCGTGACGCTGGAGCGCGTCCAGTCGCGACAAATCAATATCGTCCTTGGCCACCAAGCCGTCTTTGGATTCACTGCGTCGCTTCCGCGGAGGCGGAGACGGCGAGGACAGAACACAGACGGAGGTTTGCGGCTCCGTCCGACAGAACGAGGACCTGCGTCGTCTCTCCGGCAACTCGGGGACACATTTGCCGGAAGGCGGCAGCAGGGGATTTCGGTTTTCATTCGATTCCGCCTGCATCATCCTACCCACACCCTCACCGGGAGCAGCATCACTCATCAGCAACTGCTGCTGCAGCAGCACTCCGCTTGATTTCGCATCCTCATCCATGCCCAGGGTATCAGAGTCGTCGCTAAAACTCTCCATATTATGACGTACGACAACTCGTGCGGATTACCGCATCAACCGAGCATCTGGCGTGAAACTACACTAATGCGACTCTAAACGGTCACATGCACAAAACGAATGAGGTCATAACTTGGTCCAGCAATTGGATACTGCACCAATCCCAAATGGAGAAAGAACAAATAGAAATAAGGCGCTATTGAGCTTTTGGGATGTCAGCCATACCCTCTGTGCGGTTCCATGCGCGCGGCCACTTTTTACTCCTAGGGCTCTCTATGTGTACTTTGCTTCCGGTGAGGCCCCATCTTGCTGGAGCAGAACTCTTGGTCGTCCAAACTCTTCGCCACTGCGCACCCCATCCCCTCAAGCTGTGCGCCCAACACTCTCTCTCCTGTGGTCGCTCATTAGTGACTTCAAGACTTGGGAATAAATCCCTTATGCAGGAAGTGGTGTAGCATGGACTCCATGTGAGAAAAAATTATTTATCCATATATTTGTGAAATGATATGAGGTGTTCCATGGGTCTTTTAGATGTCAGCCATATTTTCTTAAATGTGCTTTGACAACAAGTGCATTTGACAAATTGTATTCAATTGTGGGTTTGACAAGTGCCTCTTATTCTGAGGCCTGCTTGACATCAGTTTCATTGAACTTGGGCATTGTATTACTTCAAGCAAGAAATTAGCTTCAAGAGGTTCCAACAATTTGGTTTCATGGGTTTAGAATGACCAAGATTGTTCAGCAATAAAAGTATTGTATAGGTCTTGATAACAATTTTTTATTGAGCAGACAAGATAATTTCTTGGACACTGCCTGCATTATTCAGATACAACAATCTAATTTTGATCAGGGCAAGGCTTCAACAAAAATACAATAATTGATCAGTTGAGGAAGTCAGGAGTTTTTGACACAAGGATCAAATTCTGCTGCAAAAACTATTGTTGCAGTACTGTATATTATGTCAATGCATGAAATATACATTCATATTTAGTGTGTAATGAAGAATGTATACATCAAGGTTTTTATTAAGAATTTTTCAAGCTTTCCAGGGTGGTGAGTTCTTATTAGATAGATTCTACCAGTTTGACAAGAGTCCTGGCCCTTCCTGTACAAGAGATCATACTCTAAAAGAGTTTGCTTTCTAAAAGAACAGGACACTTTCTGCATCATGAGACTGCTTTTTAACAAATATAGGCCAGCAGTTTTAAAAGACAGTATATTGGCCTGTTTTCATTGGAATGAGATTTTGACAAGAAGCCAATTCAAAAAATGGTAGAATTTTTGACACATGCAATGCCATTTTCATAAGCATATAGTCATCTACTATATATGTGATGCCTTGCCTAGCAAATGCACTGGCAAATAAACAACCTGCCTAACTAACACCAGAAACATAAATAAATGACTTTCCTAGCATACACTGGCCTGCCTTCAAATTTTTGCAGGCCTGCCCTTAAAAAAATTTATTTAAAAAATAATGCTGTTGTTTCTTCCCCTCAACAAAAAGATTGTTTCTAAAGCATTTTTGTTGAGGAAAAGTTAGAAGAATGGAAGGAAATTGTAATTGATGATATTGTATGCATACAATTGCTTCCTAAATTAGTTGACAGGATGTAGAACTTGGAGGAAAAGGTTCATTTGCCTCATTATCCTGCACTTCCTTTCAAAAGTTAGTAAAATTTCATTTTTATGGCTTTCATTTGACATTATTATAACATTTATATGTCTCTCATATATATTCCTGCTGTGATAATAAAATCTAAGGACTCCAGAATCCAATGTATGGAGGTTTGAGGTGAAAGTCTGAGAGTCAGGGAGGTGTTATCCTATGTTGTCGGAACTAATCTTAAATCTATAGTCAATCGCGTTGACGTCTCTTCGCAATCAAAACCCAAACTCAGTTCAATATCCGACTAGGATAATCTTGTCGAGAAGCTTTAACTCTGTATACCGGGTTTCAAAGTAAAAGACTTCTCGGTTACCAAAAAGCGTTAGAATATATTTCGTCCAGCAACAACTTCCACAATATCTCCACAGACAATGAATACCGAAGGTATGCTCGGGCATCCTTTTATCAATTCAATGATGCAGAGGGAAATGACCGGTTTTCTTAATGCAATGCAACGGGATGGACGAGTCACAAAGAATGTACGCCAAGTCAAGTATTCTGTGCTAGTCAGGGTACACTCAAATATAAGATGACAAACTCTCCCCAGACGAATAAAAAGAAAAGTTCCATCTTTTCAGAAGTGAGTCTAAAAAGTCAAAAAGGTCACACAAAGAAAAAATCATTTCATGGAATTTTTCCTGTGAAGTGCACCTGAAGTGCTACACTGGCAATCAAAAGTAAGGAGGCATGTCTGGGCATCAATACCTGATGTGGTTCCCATATGACAGCCATCCAGCCAAAACAGGATTCCAGGAAGAGGAA